ATATCTGGACCTGGCTCACGAGGTGACCGACATGTGGGGTGGACTGCCGACCGAAATGATACCTGCAGTCGTTTCTGCGAACGGGTTAATCCCAGTCAGCCTCTCGGGTCATCTGAGGCGACTGGGACTCCGTTACGGACCGCTCCAAGCTCAAATACAGAAGGCAGTGCTCCTCGATACCGTCCGCATCGTCCGCTGGTTTCTTTCCCTTTCCCCCTAACACTCAGCCGTTTGGGCATCCCTGCCGAGGGCTTCCATCTGGTTGGCTTTTTATTTATTTAATGATGACAATGATAATGATATAAAAATGCCTTAAAGTTAATGAATGAATTAATTAAAAATTAATATTAATGTTTTTTTTATTTAAAAAAGAGTTTGAGTTTAAATTTAAAAAAGAGAAGACGATATATGAAACAAGAATAAAAAGGGAGTTGATCGAGCAGGTTTAATACGTGGTAGAGCCATGCTGCAGGTATATTATGGTTGTAGCACGAATGGGTCGGCTCGACCGGGGAAGGACCACGTTCTCACAGAATACCAGCGTAAAATAGTAGCTTAACGCTGCTGTGTTTCGTATGGTGAGTGTAGAGAACCAGAGACCCTTTTTACTGGAAACGAGGCATTCCATCTTAGTCCTCATGGATGACATTACGCATCTGCATTTTGATCCTTAATCGAAGATAGATGTAGATGTCTATGGGCCACAGCAACCACTTACCATCAGGTGGACTGTGTGCTCGTTTGTCACTCTTAACCTATAAAAAAAAAGACGAGTTTGTGTTTTTGTGATATGTATTAAGCAGGGATGGTAGATATGATAAGAGTAGGTATAGAACGACGAGGGAACGCAGGAAATAGAGTAAATCGGGCTCTACACTCTATTGTGGAAAGTCAGAATGTGTCAAAAAGGCACATATGGCAATTCACAGTGTACTTGTTACTTGTTCACTGTGTTAGTCTCTACTTTAATTTATATTATGAAAGTTGGTTGTGAGAGAAGAAGCACGGGAGTAGAATAAATGCTGTAGAAATGCGGTCATTAAGGAGTATGTTAGGGCTGAATTTGAATGACAGGGTGAGAAATTGTGTGATAAGACAAGAGTGTTGTTTGCAAGATGATGTTGTGACCAGGATTAAGAAAGGAATGCTTCATCTAAGTTTGGTGGAAAGACTGACAAAGCCAGTTTACGTTGCAGAAGTGAACCGCAGAGTCGAGAAGGGTTGCCCTAGGCGAAAGTTTATCGACCAAATTGGCGATATATTGAAAAATTAAGGCCAAATTTAATTTACCCTTAACCGACGAGCATGTACATATGTGTAGGTATATGGATGTGGAGGAGGCGAGAGAGGTGTGTCAGGATCGTGCCAAATGGAATTCCGTAGTCTCTGCCTACGCCTCTGGGTGACAGGCGTGAGTGATTATATTATTTTCAAAATTTTTGGCGACTTATGTTCAACTTTTGAAGTATATATTTTTAATACGTAAGGCAACGTCTCCGATGTTAGAAAAGGTTTCATCGCGGGATTTTATAAAGATTTAAAATATTTTTATACGTGGTGGAGCCATGCTGCAGCTATATTAGTAGTATAGTTGAAGCACGAATGTGTTGGCTCGACCGGGGAAGGACCACACTCTCACAGTATACCAGCGTAAAATAGCAGCTTAACGCTGCTGTGTTTCGTATGGTAAAACATAACTTTTTAAAACGCTGTCATCTTTGTATTGAAATAGGAGGGCGTCATTTTGAAACCTCGCTTTAATAAAGAATTAAAATGATTAATTTTTGACAACTTTTTTTGTTATCATACTAAAATAAGCCCAAATTACCTAATGAATAAATTACAATTTATTTCTTTAAATTTTTACAAATTATCATCTTATTATCATCTTTATCGGTTAGTTTGTGTACATTTGAATGCAATCGAGAATTTTCCACTAAAATTTGCCGCAGGGATGGCAAAAATAGGCAACATATTTTTTTAAAGCTTAAAAAATTTTGTGGATTTTTAGCTTGGGAGGCCGATTACAACAAATAATAGCGCATTAAGTACCAACTCTTTTAATGTTCTAAATAGCTTAGAGACTTGAAAAGTTTTTAAAGTCAGTTAGAACCTATGGAAACTCCTTTTTGTATTTTTAAATTGAAGTTGAAATTTTGCGTCTACCCCACTAAAAACCAAAATTCTTACTTTCGATACTTTTTAAGTAACTTGCAGGAATTTTAGGAAATTTATTATTTTATGTGTGAAAGTATCATTTAAAGCAAGCATGTCAAAAGAAAAAAATCTAATAAAAAATATCTACTACAAAAAAGTTACGAATTTTTGAAGCCCCACCGGCAGAAAACACTAAAAAAATACAAAACAAATTATAACTCGAAAACTACTCAAAATCGGATAATATGGAGTATTTTCGGAAACCCCATTATATTTAATTTTTTCTTTTGGACGTCACTATTTGAACCAACCTGTATATTTATACATACGTTATATTAAAGGCTTAATGAATTCGATACCTTTGGCTTGTTATTTGTTAGTTAACTTTTTCTCTAATTTATTATAATTACCAATTATTTTAATGTTATTGTGTGTTTATGTTTAAATATTAATATGAATTTAATTTGATACTGTTAACCTACATTTAATGTTAATGTTGTATGCTCTAACAGGCAGATCACCGAGTACTTGCTTTTTTATAACAGCATATTGTTCTACTGTAGATATAACCTGTGTTCACAATAAAATAATTTGAAGTGAATTTAATTATGTTAAGTTGGAATTTCGTTTGGATATATTTAAAAAATAACACGACTTTATGTACCATTATTCACTTTCTCTTATTCATATAATATATGCTTTATGTAATACATAGTTTTGTGGTCGGAATTAATTCGATTCACGCGTAATTTTATTTTAAGGAGGCCATCGGGGCGGATATTAAGTTGATAGTATGCGTCCGTGTCGCGGCGTACTTGTAACTCAACTTTTATCAGGTGTTCGAGAGTCGAAGAGTTCGATTGATTGATGCTTTCCTTAGGTAGAGTTTAACTAATTCCGTCCTAATGCTTTTGAACCGAGACTGTAGCTCAGGATATAAACGCTCGCCTTAAAATGTCATAGTAATAAATTAATATTTACGTGGTAAAGTCGCTGCAAAACTGGAAAAGACTAAGCTCGCACAGAGCACCAGTGTGATGTAGCGACATTTTTTTTTATGGGATAAGGATGACAAACGAGCACATAGTCCACCTGATTGTAAATAGTTGTTCTGGCCCATAAGACATCTACGTCTATCCTCGATTACAAATTAAAATGCAGATGCGTTATCACCCGTGAGGACTAAAATGAAATGCTTCGTTTCCAGTAAAAAGGGTTTCCGGTTCTCCACACTCACCATACGAAACAGCAGTGTTAAGCTGCTATTTTACGCTGATATTCTGTGAGAGCGTGGTCTTTCTACGGTCGAGCCAACCCATTTGTGCTACAACTATGCCAGTAATCTAGTAGCAACATGGCTTTACCACGTATACATAATGCATTTGTGCTTTTTATGGTGAGTGCCGAGAACCTGAGGTACTTTTTACTGATTACAAGGCATTCCATTTCAGTCCTCAGGAGTGGCAACTGGCAATGTATTACACTTTGATCCTTAATCGAGGATAAATGTAAGTATCTATTATTCCATTTTTATTACTCTATAATTAATCCATTATCACCTTGAGAATGACAAACCGCACTTACTCTTCTTGACTGAGACGCAGATTAGATGTCCTCTAGATGCGGCGTACCTTGGCTACCCTGGGTACACATAGCAGCATAATTTCCATAAACGCGCCGGAGTCTGTGTTTACGTACGTCAGTGTACCATCTCAATTACCTCACTGCGGTACCTCAATGTCAAAGGTCCGTATCACCAACAAGGAGGTTCTTAAAACCTTGCGAAGTCTAGACGTGAACAAAGCTAGTGGACCTGATGGTATACCAACTATAGTTCTAAAGGTATGTGCACCTGAGTTATCTCCTGTAATTACACGCTTGTTCTGCCTCTCATTCAGGACTGGAATAGTGCCCAAATCTTGGAAGCTGGCCAATGTGCAGCCTGTGCCTAAAAAGGTAGCCGTACCGACCTTGCCAACTATCGACCAATTTCAATTGCCTCCATACTCTGCAAGGTTATGGAGCGTATATTGAACGCCCACCTTATGGCATACCTAGAGCAAAATGATTTCCTCAGTGATCACCAGTACGGGTTGCGCCGAAATCGATCAACTGGGGACCTTCTAGCGTATGCCACTCAAATATGGGGCGAAGGCCTCGAGAACAGTGGTGAAGCACTTGCTGTTTCCCTCGATGTTTCGAAGACTTCTGACAGGGTTTAGCTCACTAGTCTATTGGGCAAGCTTTCAGCGTACGGCTTATCCCCTGGCCTGATTGTCTGAGTGAAGGACTTTCTGAGTGAAGGGTCTCTCCGGGTCGTCGTCGATGGCTGCTCATCCGATACTGTGGCGACTAACGCCGGTGTTCCTCAGGGGTCCGTTATCTCCGCAACTATCTTCCTGCTGCATATAAATGATCTGCTCATTCCCGGTGTCTATGGGTATGCAGACGACAACACAGTTGTGGAGAGATACCAACCAAGTGCTTGGGCCAGTCGGGATCAAATCCAGTTAGAAGGAGAGGCTGTGGTTTAGCGTGTGAATCTCACACTACAGGCAGTATCTGAATAGGGCGATGCCAATCTCGTGAGATTTAACTCCTCCAAAACACAAGCGTGTCTTTTCACCGCAAAAGGGAGCCCGCTTAGCTTGGCTCCTACTTTCCGGAATGTATCCTTGGAGTACACTGACCGCCTTCAGTTGTTAGGTGTTTAATTTTCTCCGAACCTCAACTACGGGCAGTACATTGAGTCCAGAGTCAAAGCAGCCGCAAGGAAACTTGGTGCGGCGGTACTTCACGCCGGGGCAGCTTCTTACCTATATAAAGCGCAAGTCCGGTCGTGCATGGAGTACTGCTGTCACATATGGGCTGGTGCTGCAAAATGCTACTTGGCAGCGTTGGAATCAGTGGAGAGACGTGCTAAGAGGTGACCCTGATTCGGTTGAAACCAAACTTGTCAGCCTCGAGCACAGGCGCAGAGTAGCCAGTCTCTCGATATTCTATAGGATGCATTTCGGTGAGTGTGCGCAGGAATTACACGCTTTAATTCCTCCCTCTCCTCTCCACCATCGGACAACCAGGCGATAGGCGGGTCTTCACCCCTTTGTTGTCGATATTTCACGCATTAGAACCAAAAGGTATGCTTCGTCTTTTGTAATGCGTACCTACAGCAAAGGAGTGGAATAATTTGGTGGCGTCTGCCTTTGTGGAAATCTATTACAATGGGGTTGTTATAAAACAATTTGCTTAAAACCGCGTAAAGAAAAAAATGATGTGTCCTGCCCAGTTTTAAGGGTACCTCCCACCCTCCCTCAATCGCGCGCACTACCATCCTCAGTACCACCACACTAGGCACGACACACCACTCTTGAAAATACGACACATGTTTCGCCTCTACACGAGGCATCCTCAGGTGAAGCAGACTCTGCGGAGGCTAGCCGCTAGCGACGGATATAGTGTGCGCGATTAAGGGAGGGTGGGAGGTCCCCTTAAAACTGGGCAGGACACATCATTTTCTTTCTTTACGCGGAATTAAGCAAATTAGTTTATAACAACCCAAAAAAAAAACTATTGACCGCAGCCACAGCATTCACTTAACATGGTGGACAGTATATGTTCGCATATCATCATTAAACTTTACTTGAAATGAATTTATTCTATTTATATTTTTCTAACCCGGTACGATCTCCACCGGCACGGCGCCAATGAAATTGTTAGTTGCAATTTCTTGAAACCAGTATATCTGAAACTATAAACATTTTTCGAAGACATATTGTGAAGCAGCTCGTTAGTCTAGGGGTCGTAAACATGCTATGGATCATGAGGTCCTGCGTTCCGCGTCAGGGCAAAATTAGTAATTGGATTTTTCCGTCAAGAAATTCTCAGTAGCAACCCGGAATCAGGAAGTTGGCGGTGTTTCACTCCCGTGCTTCGGAAAGGACGTAAAGCTGTTGATCCTGAGCTTCATCTCTCTCCAGTCGTGTCGAATTGCCGTCCCATCGTCACTATGAGAGTGAGGGAATACAGAATGCACTTGTACTTGCGCACACTATTATTATCTATATACTAATTTATTATCTGTGGTTACGGCCGCGAGCCAAGGCTGGCACCTGAGAGTCTGAGCTCACTTGCTATCCGGTTTTTGGCTGTAGTTCTTGCGATACTCTGTCGTTAGGTCAAGACATTTTTCTTTTCTGTCATTTCACATAAGTAGTCGCCTTTCACGACACCGATTACAAGAAACGGAGTCCGTCACACGGCCTAAAAGATTTTAGAACCGATGTAAAACAGGTTAGCTAGTTTAGCTAATATTCTTTTTCATTCATTTTTTTATTTTACCTGCACCTTTCTTGCCGCTATCGGTATGAGAATTTAAGCGCTGGAAATATTTTTTCCATTTATTCATACAAAGTAAGGTACATTACTAGAGAAATTATTTCGCCAAACTGCAATCAGTTTGTAGGCGGATACACGCTCTGAAAACTATATATTATTATGCAACATCATCTACAATACAAATACAATTAATTATTAAAAAAAAATAATCAAAGCGAATAAAATCAATTACAAAATATTTAAAAAGAAAAACATCAATCAAACAACTAAACATTGTTTGATTACTTTTGATTTTTTTTCTTATTTACATCTATAATGTACTTATAACTCAGTTATAGGCGTAATAATAATATTTGTAGGCGTTTTATGCCTTAACTTTTTTATTAAACGAAACGAAATGGTTACAACAACAGTAACCTAATGCTTATAGCCGTTTGTCGGAAGCTAATTAATAGAATCAGGCGTTACGTTGCGAAAATCCATTATATTATAGATGTAAAAAAAATATTAACTAAGATCCGCCTTAGATCCGCGTAATGACATTTATTACGCGGATGTCAGCTAATTAATTTCTAACCACTTTAATTTGTTGAAAGCTATGAACTATCGGTGAGTGACGTCATACGTGAGACACGATTTTTTTTTTGAGTACATATGATTTTCGTGAACAAAACATTTTTGATTAATAAAACGAATGCGATAAATAATAAAATGCAATACACGTGCATTTAAGTACCTAAAAGAACTATATCAGCAAATGGTCGTCGCTGTTGGTGATCAGAGGGCTGGTTTTTTTTTTCGTTGATAGGTTATAGGCCTAGGAATAGGAAAGGCAGCTAGCGTTCTTTGCACTATACCGCTGGAGTAGGATTGTATTATAATTTAAGATTTTAGTTCTAGTTTATTTATCGTGGGTTTTTAATTTATATATTTAAACGAAAGCAAGGTGTTACAATATTTCGAAAAGAAAACCAATTAAAAGTAACTACATTACTTAAACGTGTGTTTCAAAGGAGTGCTTGCCTTAAAAATTCGTAATACATGAGAAAGTCAAGTTCGATCCCCGCTAGAACCAACAAAATTGTTAATTTTAATTCAAAGTTCTTATTTACCACATGCTCTGCCGTTAAGGGAAACATCGTGCGGAAACTTGCAGGCTTGAAATATAAAAAAAATATATTTTAAGGCCATGTGAATGATGTTCATGTGAAATCCGTCAACACGCATTGGGGCAGCGCTGCGAACTCTTCCTTGCTCCAAGCCCCTCTTAACACGTTTATAATATATACCTTTTTTTTTATAGAATAAGTGTGAACGAGTAAACAGTCCACCTGATGGTAAGCGGATGCTGTGGCCCATAGACATCTACATTTATCCCTAATTAAGAATCAAAATGCTCCGGTTCTCTACACTCACCATACGAAACACAACAGCGTTAAGCTGCTATTTTACGCTAGTATTCTGTGAGAACGTGGTCCTAGTAGTATCGCAGAATAAATAATAGTTGGTAGTATGCTGATTTTTGTACTGCAGACAATACTGTCTTAGCTATTTTGTCTGCATCTCATCGACGTCCCAAATATTGACAAAAATCAAAGATATTTATTTATTCTATTTTCAAGGATAAGTAACTCATCGACAAGTATACATAGTTTATATATATTTAAATGTCTTTGACAAAAATAAAATAAAATTTAATAAGCATACTTATGTTTCGATATTAGTGAGTAATAAAAAGCGAAAGAGACACAGATACTACAGATAATATACACTTAATGACTTTCAGAAGCTCTTAATAAAGTTTGTTGTTGGCTTTAAACCTGTTTGTATATAATTTTTCGTTACCTCGCAAATGTTTATAACTTGAAACTTGAATCACCAAGTGTCGATACGACCGGAAATGACGACGTCCGTCGAAAATATCGAAGAGCATTAAAATGTAGGTAACCTTAAAATCAGATCCCTTATCATCGAAAATTTATTAATAGACGCTTTATCTAAAGAATTATAGAGTGCACAATTTTTCTCATAGACTATACGCGTCACTTTTTCACTTCTGTGGTGCAGTGACCCCGAGGTGAGATCATGTCATTATTCTCTGTCCTCCGCAATCTCTCGCAAGTTGTCACCAGCATGAAGCTTGCGCAGGTTTTACACCCGGTCGCTTCAGCGATAATTGGGTCGACTAACTGGACGTCCGCCAATTGGTCGATCGATATATTATCTCTTTAAATTTCGAACATCGAAAACGATGTAAGAATATCCACTACCCCATATCATCCCGTGGGTGTCGTAAAAGGCGGAAAAGGAAAACAAAGCAGGAGATGGGCAGCAGCGTCTTCCTAATAACGACTATACTTATAAATAAAAAACTGCGGTTGCCAACCCGGTTACCAAGCGTAGAAGCTATGGCAAATATCCCCTAATGAGGCAATTTATGCAGGAGATCTATGTTCAGCAGTTGACTTTAATAGGCTATAACGGTAAACTCCGATGCTGTTCCATCCGGAATGGACATGACCGAGCCACCGGAGACTGTGTGCTTTTATTTGTCCAATGATGTATGGCTCGGCCATTTTTCTAATTCAGAGTTATTCCGGTAGAGTATACCCATTAGCTGACATCTTCCCTTCTAAATATAAAACTGAATAAAAGGGATTATACATATTTTTTATGGGATAGGGTGACAAACGAGCACATAGTCCACCTGATGGTAAGTGGTTGCTGTGGCCCATAGACATCTACATCTATCCTCGATTACGAATCAAAATGCAGATGCGTTGTCACCCGTGAGGACTAAGATGGAATGCCTTTTTTCCAGTAAAAAGGGTCGCCGGTTCTCTACACTCACCATATGAAACAGCAGTGTTAAGCTGCTATTTTACGCTGGTATTCTGTGAGAGCGTGGTCCTTCCCCGGTCGAGCCGACCCATTCGTGCTACAACTATACTATTATATAGCTGCAGCATGGCTCTACCACGTACAAAATAATATATCCATTTAATTGAATTTCTAGTTTACTCGTAATATTAGAATTGTTCGTAATGTTGAACATCTGACACGCTTTCGTAGATTTCTGAATCACGACAAGAGGTCCACCTACGGGGTCCAATTGTGAATCTAAGCCATTATCAAATCAACTTAATCAGACGGAAAATTTCATCAAAATCGGTCCGGCTATTTAGGGGGAGTTCAGTCACATACATACGGACAGAAGAATTATATAATATATAATATTGTATTATGTTAAACGTTTCTCTTGAAGCATTTTGTCTATTGATGAAAACCGCAGAGACGGCGGTAGGCCACTTTGATTTATACTATGTAGAGATATATTTTTTCTGTTAGAAAGAAATAAACACTTTATCTACAGACTTCAAAAAGGAGACGGTACTTAATTCGACTGTGTGTTTTTTTATGTGTTATCTCATAACTTCTTTCTGGGTGAACCGATTGACCGACCGATGATTCTTCTTTTATTTGAAAGCTGGTGCTTCTCATGTAGTCCCATATAAATTTAAACAAGGTCTGACTAATAGTTTTTAAGATATTCTTAATAATTTGTATTGAAGTCGGTTGTA